TTTCTGCCCACTGCTGACCCTGTTAGCTGGCCAGCACCTACAGCCAGGCCTTCCCAGCACCTGCAACAAGAGTGTCCAACCTTACCTAACCAACAGGCAGCTCAGACAAAAGCTCCAAGCTGGTCAAGGACAGCTGGCAGAGCTCCTTTGGAGCTGATGGAGGTTGCTAGAGTCACAGCCTCCTGCAGCAGTCCTCTCCCAATGACATTCCTTGAAGTGTTCCCAGAAGTCCTCCAATGATCCCAGAAATTGTTCCTAGAAGGTCTAAAAGATCCCAAAGCAGATGCCAGGAACTGCTCTAAAAACTCCTGCGTTTGGTGGCTGACCCTGTTAACTGCACTGTCAAAAATTTAGAGAACTGCTGGAAAAGGTAGATTTCTCTGATGTCATTGATTTTCATGCAGAGATTCACACTGATTTCAGGATCAGAGGTACTATCAAACCTGATTAAATAAGCACACATAACATACATTCACAACAGCCCCAATATCTAGCACAATTAAGGGAATTCTGAGCCTGATCACCTTAGACATTAAGAAATAGATTAAGAAATAGATTAAGAAATGCAGCAATAACACAGGAAGGGAAAAGTCTGGGTGTTAAACTGGTGATAACAAAATCATATGTCAAAAGTTCCTACTGTTTAGACGGTTTCTCCCTGCATTTTCTTAGGGGTAATTCTGGCTCCAGGAGCTTGCCCCCCTGCCAGTTGTTCCTGCCTGGTCTAGCGGGATTGCCTCCGCTCTGCCAGCACACCAGTGTCTGTGAGGCTGGGTCACACATCGAACTACTGAAGTGACCTGGGTTAAAAGGAACCCTGTGGGATGAGGCTATTTTTAACCCAAATCATTTCATTGACTGAGTGTATAATTGTGTCGGCACGGCTGAGCTGCTCCGGGAGGCACAAACCCTGGCCGAGCAGGCTGGCGGGGAGGGCACTGTTAGTGAAGAGAACTTACCTTGAAACTATTACCTTCATCTATTCTTGTTTTATACGAAAACTCCCAGTCCTGCTTTACCAGTTCAGGACCCACCCAGAACTGACTGCAGAGCCCCGTGGCCAAAATGCCGAGAAGGGAAGGGGAAAGTGCAGCTGGAAACCCTAATGTGTCCCTTTCTCATGCTGCCTCTGTAAGGGTCTTCCGTGTTCGCTCACCCTGTGACAGCTGAGCACCTTTTCATGGTGCTTGCCACATCTGCCTTGGGTAAAGAATGATTATTATATGATCACATTAATTACGCTCACTGCTGACAAAGCACTTGGTGTTATGTATATATATAAAGCAACAAAATCCATTCTCTACTCTATTTTTCATTTTGCACCAATTATTTCTGACAAGGAGGTATGAGAAGCATTCCCATAGAAGAAGGTTAATCTCCAAGGACAAGAGTGTAACTAAGGAAAAACAAGCCCTGGGTGTATAATGGTTTAAATTAAGCAGTAGAGTTTAAAACAGTTTAATTCAACATCTTAATTAAGGAATCTCCTTGAAAGAAAAGAACATAAACTGAAAATGTGGCAGTAACTGGCACCTAGTTATACCATTGAACAAAAAGGAAGCAAGACAAGACAGTGCCAGCAAAGTTACACTAACAAATGTCCCAAGGCAACTACTCTAAAATCTGGCAGCCTTACACACGATTCATTTCTGAGCCCAAAACCTGTATCTCAAAGTCAGGGCTCTTGTCAATCTGATAAGTATCACCAGCTCTTATGTTTACTCCAAATCACACCTATATTCCTGCAAGGGTTTGTCCCAATTCTCTAGTTAGAATTGAGGCTGGAGACTAAACTGGTTTTCAAATGGGTGCTTTGCATGAGGCATCTAACGTAAACCCATATAATGTGCCGTACGTGCAAGCTGGTTTCCAGTGCAGCCAGCTTTGCTCAGATACTGCGTGACAGGAATTACAGAGGATTTCCTGATCGATTTAGAAACCAAGGACATGAGAGATGAGAGAAAGAGAGCAGAATTACCCTTTCTGTACTACACTGAGGGAGGACATGCTCAGCCAGTCTCCCCCTGATGTGCAGAGGCGCGGGCCACCATCAGCCCCACGCACATCACTCCTGCTCGTAGCGTTGTGGCAGATAAGGATGCGACCGATGTTCAAGCCCTCCTGTACCAGTGCAAACCCCCAGGACTGTGGTTCCTGCTGTTGTATGATAATGCTTCTAATAGTCTGCGTTTCAGAGCTTTCTGTACTGAAACACAGCGCTTTGCGCCCACTCTCTCCTAGGTGCAAACCACCACCATGTGCATCTCCGTGAGTCTGAGCGGCTTCGTTGTGTTGGGCTGCTTGTTCGCGCCCAAGGTGCACATCATCCTCTTCCAGCCCCAGAAGAACGTGGTCACTCACAGGCTCCATCTCAACAGGTTCAGTGTCAGTGGGACCGGGACCACTTATTCCCAGTGTAAGTAACAAAACTGACACTTTTTCATAAGGGTGTGGGGGTGCGGTGACTTTGGGTGAAGAGAAAAGTGGTTTTTTACCAGCAACAAGAAGACCTTTATAGGCTGGGCTGTGTACCCTGTGGAAGTACATTTGAGCCTGGCAAGAAAAACGCATGCCCCTCCCACGGGAATCAGCGCAGTGCCTGCTCTGAAGCCCACTGACGTCGGCAGAAAGCCTGCAGCAGGCTCTGACTCCTGCGCGACGCGCGACGCAAGCAGAGCTGGCGCTCGCCGCCGCGCTCGCAGCAGCGACGGGACCAGGTTGCCCTGGAGTATTCCCGTCCCAAGGGACGCCCACAGGGCCTGGGCCCCAGTGCAGCGTGCTCTCAGTGGCTCTTGTCGCCTGCGTTACAGGGAAGGCTCCAAGCCTGCAGCAGCTGCAGACAAGGGATGCCGTAAGCTGCATCCGTATGCGGAGCGTGAGCAGTCCCCTCTGCACGTGCCGCAGCCCGGAGCAGCAATCGGTGCTCCGTTGCAAGGACAGCTCATCGCTCTGCCTCCCTCCTTGCCTTCATCTTCAGTCTCTTCATCCCAAGCAGATTCACATCTGTGATTTTGATTTCAGGCTGTTGCTCTTCTTCTGGGTAAATTGCTTAGAGATGTTTTTTAATTAAAAAAAAAAATAGGTAACCTGTATCGTGTTTCTTTTATTTCCTGATCAAACTTAACTAGTCAAGGAGGGGAGCACACAGCACCTCGTTCACAGAGCTGTGCGGACAGCATGTCTAACCTGGAAAGCTAATTGAAAAAGCACACTACAACTAGAAAGAGGCAAGGAATAAAAAACAGAGGACAGGAGGGACACAGAGCAAGGCTTGCTAGAAAGTTCACACCAACCTAGCTTCAGGGTTTTGAGTATCACCTGAATTTCAAAATTGGCTAGAAACCTTTAGCACTTCAGATTTCAGACAGGACGTGGAAGGAACTCGGGACCCTGCTGTGTAACACATTGGCAGGGATTAGGAGGTAAAGGGGTCCCAGACATCTCTGGCTGTCCCACTCCAAACCACCCTGTGTCGTGAATGCCCAGGGTCCCTTAACAAGAGAGCAGCCATGTGGCTCTACACATCCCCCATCCCATCAGTCAGGACTGCATCCAGCCCTGACACCAGAAAGCACAATCTCCTTGTTGTTTTGGGAAACTTAAACTAAGAGAGAAGAGAGGGCCCAAAGTGCTGAGCACTACCAGAAGGGCTGGATTTGCAAGACCAATGGATTCTCAATAACCAGTAGATGTTTGGTCCCTTGATGAAATGGTAAGTCCATGACAGCCCTTATGAATCTTGTATAAGTGGTCTTCCCAAGTTTTTTAATTCTCTCATACTGTGTAATAAGCTTAGTCAGAAACCATTTTGATTCATGGGTACTTTTGTACAGGATTGCATTTTAGAATTTGATATTTTTATTATACTGCTTGAATAACACGTGTGTGCACAAACATGCATGCAACTGAAAGACATTCTCAGTGCACATCTTTACATTAAAAGCCTACTTCTTCAGGTTTGTGAATAGCTTTAAGACATTAAGGAAAACATAGCAATCGAGACTTACAACCTCTTGATACTTCATTGTTTAGGAAAGAGTCGCAGTCATTTACTTTTCCTGCTTACACCTAGCTGAATAAGGGCTGCTCATCTCTGTTAGTCTTTTCAGACCATGGCAAGACATGGACCTGGAAGTAGAACTAAAAGGTACATCATATACAATGAAAAAAGCCCTATAGTTTCCATCTAGGAAAATTATTTGGGAAAATAACACCGAGAATTCACTGTCTAGCACAGCGCCAACATTTTTAAGAAGGAAAAATTTCCCTTACTCCCTTCCATTTATTTGTGAATGATTTTAAATAAATTTTCTTTTTTTTTTTTAACTGTCTAGTCATTTATAAATCTCCAAAAAGGTTGTCATTCAAACTGATTCTAATCCATGTCTAAAATATTCCTCTCATCAGTCCTGGCACTGTCAGCTTATTTTTATTTTGGTCTTGATAGTTTTTCATCAGTCAGAAACTGCTTAATATGAGACTGATCAAAATTATCTCCAAGGATTCTAGTAACAGCAACATCCAAGAAGCCAGTTCTTGTTCATTTTCAGAGCTTTAGAGGACAGGAGTATCCAAGTTGCTCAAATGGTCAGTGTGTTTCCTACCTCCGTAGATTCCTACCTCCATTGCATCCCAGGGCTGCCACCATCACCTCATCAGTAATTAATGCCATGAGCATAGCGGGTCATGCACAGCAGGAGACTCACAGCCAGTTTTTAACACAGTTCCTTCAACCGTGAAAACTGGCCAAACCCTATGAGAAAAAGTAAGTGACACTCATAATGGTCTTGGGCAGGGCTGAGCGTTAGCGTATCGCAATTACATCCCTAAACGGAGCCGTGGAGGGAGGAGCCGAGTCAATGGTCAACCACGTAAGCTGCAGTGCGGTAGCGGTCATGAGAGCTAAACCGAGCGCCTCACGTAGCCGTCCGAATACAGCTCCTCGTCTGTGCCCCATGCTCTGCAGAAAGCTGGTAGAGGGGAGGACCTGACTGCTAAGAGAGGAAACTTGCTTCAGAGCCACCGAGCTTTGATCATTTTGACAGCTGAAGTCTGGACTATAAAAGATTTAAGCCGAGGAGAGGCAGGATATATGTGTGCCTAGGTATATGACATGTTTTGAAACATATACATCCATACACATTTATGTGCATCTGAAAACTCACCTTTGGCAGAGCGCTGCATAAGCTCTGCTTCCCCGCAGTGCTTCCCCCATCGGGACGTTCCCCAGTTTTCCTGTGGCCTGTTGCGCGGGTTTGGCAGAGGTACCCCCATAAGGCAGCGGATTAGCACTCATAAAACTTCAGAGAGCTCAGACTGATTTAAGCACCTGCATGCTTCAGGCTGAGCTTTTACACCCAGAAGGTGTCATTCACCCAAGTTAAGTCCCCAGGAGAGCAGCACACAGATTTGAGCTCCTCCAGCCATCCTCCACAGGGGTCAGAAAAAGAATTGAAGCTACTCTTCATAGCGAGAATGCTAAATTTTCTCTCTCAGATTTTATTTTCCCAGACCTTTCCCCAAACTAGCCCTGATATATGGCTTTTACACACGATTAACTCGCAGTCGTCCAGCGGTGAGCACGAGCAGAGGAAGTGTCACACAGGCAGCAGGTTTGAATCTGCCTGTTCCCGATACGCAGGTACGCTGCAAGGTGCCCACGGCAGCGCTGGGCTCTTGCATTCTCCCTCTGGTTCTTTGCCTTTGGATTACCCAAGCAAAATGAGGGGCTGCCAGGGAAGATGAGATCAAAAGCATGCACTGCAGCCAAATGAAGACTGTCACACATTTTTCCTTGGCCTCAACGCAAGGCAAAATGGAGGTGAAGTGTCTCCAGCAGGTCCAGCTCTCTTTCATGAACCCCTTTAGCTGTTGTAAGATGAGACGTAAAACTCAGAACCCTGCAGGGCCAGCGATTAACATTGCCGAGGTCTGTGAGGAAAAGCAGGGTACTCCCAAAGTGTGAACACTTTACTCCACCCAAAAGAGTTAATAACTGCCTCCCACCACTACCAGAGAGGAATGTGCTGTGCAGGACGCCTGGGAACTCAAAAATCAAGGCCACTCATTTCTCACCTACCACCATAGTTGCCTGTCCAGCTTCGACATCCTCCTCACCCAGTTACTGTAGTATTTGAGCTATTCATGTGTTGGACTTAAGAAAAACCCTGAAGGTAAAAAATTCTGGGTGTGTGACTGATGTTCACAGAAACGAAATGCTTTTGCCTGTAGTTCTGCCCTGCGGCAGAACAGGGATTTGAATCAGATTTCCTAAGCAGTACTGATTCTTCTGTTTGCCAACAATAAGTAGAAATGAAAATAACAACAATAATGAAAATTTCAGGTCAATGTGTTGCCGTATTATACCCAGTTAAAAACTGAATACAAAATCTGATGGCTCATTTGCACAAAATCATACACATGATGCCATGTGCCCTTTTACTTGGAGATGACTGTTTTCATATATGTGGCTCACAACACATCCAAGTTGTGAGACGTCAAACTCCATCTACCTAATTCAGAGCAGGGGCTCATTCTCGGATCTCCTGTTTATCAGGAATATATCCTTCTTTCTGAGTAGTAGGTTAGCCTCTAAATTTCTCTTGTTAAAGCAGTTTTTTTCCATTTATATTTCTTCAGTCAATGAAAGAATTCGAAATAGTAGCTGATTTGAAGAAAGAATGATCTGTTCTGAAAATGATGCTGAGCATCTTTAAAAAAACAGTCTGCAACTGAGAGTGTGGCCAGCACGAGTTTTGGAAGACTGAGCATGCCCTTGTCAGCTGCATAAATTGCTTTTTACACTGGATGATTGAGTTTACCAAGTCATGGCTTGCTGTGCGTTTTCTTTGATGAAGGCATCACATTTCTCTGGGTCACTGTTATCATTAACCTAATGTATCTTTCAAAAAACAGCTTTATGGTGCCTTAAGCAGGGATGTCACAGAGTATCTGAAAACACATTCTTGATGCCCACTGGATAATTTTAACAAAGAGGGACAAACAAGCTTGCTTTAAAATTAAAATCTACAAGGTTTTAGCAGAGTGGTAATATATCCTATGGTCAATACACAAATACATTTAGAAACAGATTCTGATACTCAGATTTAATTGTCATATCACTGAAGCAATGAAAACCTGTTGTATAAAATACTAGGCAATGTAGACAAGGGTATTGGAATCTGACCCTTGACTCTGGATGCATATTGAATCCTGATCCAGAGCTCCTAGAAATTATGGCCAGAAAATATTCTGGGATTAGGTGAGAAATAATCTTGCTTTCAAATTCAGTTATTCAACTATTTCTTCACTCCATCAAACATGTATGTAGGAGTCTTTTTTTTTTTTAATTAAAAATAGATCAGCACACATTCCTAATATGCAGAGGTGGATTCTCTCCTGGATTTAAAAATGCATATATTTTACTTCAGGAATGTCCATTCCAATTATGCAAAAGCTCAAAGGATCAGACCTTAGCATTTCTTGCCAATAAAATATGAAAAATACAAAGGTTCATTTTTTTATCCTACAGGGATAGCTGTAGGATAAAGAACCACTCTGGCTATATTAATTCACACTACCATGCAAAGTGCTATAAAGTGAGACCTAGTCGCCCAGAATCATCAAAAAAATTTCATGTATTTTATTCAGAAACTTCTCAGAGAAGCTTAGTCACCCTAAGCGCTCTCAAAGGTCAGCAAAGAGAAATCAGGTTCCTCCACAAGGTGCTTCAGCCGCAGATCGGAGTTGCCTTGTAGAGGTGCAAGCAGCACCTCCATCAGCTCCGCTGCTGACACAGCCACAGACAGTGACTCTGCATGGAGCATCTTGGTTAAATTGGGTGAGATGGTCCAGATCAACCCAATGGTTCTAACAGTTCAGATGGTTTTAATCCTGCGTGTTGTCATTTTTTGCCACCCTGAAGTCAGTTGATTTTCCCCTCTCTTTCTCTTTCAGCATCTGCTAGTATGTACGTACCGACTGTCTGCAATGGAAGGGAAGTTCTGGACTCCACCACTTCATCTCTGTGATTGTGACTTGCAGTTCAGTTCTTGAGTTTTTAGACTGTTAGACAAAATTTTGCACATGTTGTGCACTCCGGAAAACACCAGAAAACAAAAGAAATCAAAACACAACTAGTACCTTTTTTTTAGAAACAGTGTAATAAATTATTTTTGAGGATTGTACAGTATATAGTGATGTTCTGGAACTTTTTAGACTGATTTTAGCCTTTCTGTTAATGGTTGTAAGGGACATGTAAATAACCATGGTTCACAATGTGCATAGTCTGCAGTAAGGGAGTGATTTGTTGCAAGCACAGTTGCAATGTTAGGTGACTTCTTTCCTACGAAATTTTTTTGTAGCTCCTCGTTGTAATTAACTTAGACTGCATTTCTATGTTGTATATTACAGTTACCTTACGTGTAACAGATTGGTTTTCTCAGCACAAAACAGCAGTATTAATGTAAAGGCACCAATAATAAAAAGATAAAAGTTTTTCAGCATGGTTTGATTTTTGTTTCTTCCTCCCTGTGGTGATGCATTTTCTCCCCCCCTCTCCTCGCCTTGCACCTGGGCTGCTGTACAACCTGAGAAATTCAGTTGTCTGGCAAGCCGACACATTACATTTCCCTAGACACCAGGACAGATAAAAAGGATAAAAAGTCTCCAGTACCAGTGCGTACACACGTATCTGTGTATCGGTCTGTGCCTGTGTTACAAAATCCGTATCGCACAGCATGTGCTTACAATGAATGCTTTGTCAGGGTCAAGTATAAATTCGCTCTCTTTAAAAAAAATGCACATTATTAAAGCATCTCAGGTGCTCTTTTTGTTATTAAAATGTAGGGTAATGTTCAAAAGTGAAAATGTCTAATTGCATCCCCATGAGATATTAGCAAAAATTTGTTGATCTCTGGTTCACTCATCCGGTGTGACTTAATGCTGTCATGCACACAACAGTTTGGTAGTGTATAGAAAACAAAGAGATTTTAGATTATGTTGGCAAAAAGATGGAAGAAAACCTGTCAGAAAATTAGCTAAGACTGTTTTATACCTCCAGCCAAAACAACGCTGGTTCAGTTTGTCTGCATCAACAGTGCCGTGAAAGGCAATTGGAGCACTGCAGAAACAGAGACCAAAAAAAGTCAAAAAAGAGAAATCCAGGAGACATTTACACACGTCTGTGTAAAGGGGTGACCTTTGCATTCAAACCAAATTATCCAAGACACGCATACCAGCTACTTAAGACAATTGCAAAATACCTTTAAAGTCTGGCTTTTATAAGTGCACTCCTAAAGCTGCCCTCACACTATTGAAACAACCTGAAATCCTCCCTTCTGCCGGGTCCCATAAGTCATTAAGAAAACAAACACACCTTTGATTAATGTGCCTCAGCATATTTACCTAAGGGCTTGTTCCCGTTGATCTCATTCCAGCTGAGGTCAACAGCAAAATTCTCATTGACTTCAAAGGCAACACCACCGAGGCTTGAAAGGCACACACTGCAGATACATACTGTTGGATGTACAAGTTCTCTGGCACCCCGTTCTCCTGCACTTGCAGAGGTTTTTACACATTTCTGGAAAGGTGCGAGTCCTTAGGGCTGAACTAGCAAAGGAAGTAGCTTATTTTGAATGCAAAAATTAAAGATGCAGGTTCTTAAAATTCCTTCTCACTGATAGATGCCTATTTTCTTTGGACATTCACATGTCCACAAGCAAAGACCTCTTGATGTTTACACTTCTGCGACTGGCTACACAGACAGCTATTTAAGTCTCTGCATCACGGAGCTGTCTAGTACAAAAATCCCTGTAACTTTCCCCAAAATAGGCATTGCTCAGCCTACATAGCATACGGAGCCCTGCATTCAGCTTCTTTCTCTCCACAGGCTCTGGAGTGCCTAATGTTTGGGGTTTGGTTCCCACCTTGACGCAAGGTACAGCGGTCAAGCTTTGACAAGTTGGGAGTCTTGCTTTCTAAATCAAGAACCCTTAAAACATCTCAAGTTGTGCAGCTGCTTTCATTTGACTTTTGTATGCTCTTTTGTGGATTAAGAGGCTGTTCACAGTATGGCAAAAGGTCAAAATATCTGACCATAATGCCGATGTCCCTGCATTTGCATTATCTTTATGGAGCTATTAAAATGCTTAAGCCAATGAGAATTTCTTCTCAATTTTTATGGAAAGCAACAATCAGGGTCAAATCCATCTCACCTAACAGTCTTTCTCTATAATATAAATAGCTACATATGAGACTGTCAACCTCTTCTCCCTTTGTACTCAGTGGAGAGAAGTAGGCACAATTCCCCTGGCTTTTCTCAGATGGCTACTTTAGGCTGAGATGAATCTCTCCAAACAAAGGCTAGCACAGCTTGCTCAATCACAAAGTTTGCACTGGAAATAAAGACATTGTGTCAGATGAATTCCACCTCTAGAATTTAAATTGGCATCACTGAAGCTAATTTATAGCAGGTGAGGATCTTGCAGTCTGGGAGTTTTCATTCATTTCAATTTCACTATTGAGAAAATGACCCAGCATCTGTGTCTGAACATGTGTTATGAATACTTAGGTTGTTTGAAAGCCACTTGCATGTGAGTTTTTCATACAAAAAAAGAACCCACATGGAGCTCTGGAGCTCCAGCCCCACTGAATGTTCCTCACATTCTTGTACTTTACTTGGTTTTGACTTGAAAGCTTTTCACTACCTCCTGTTGGATATCCAGGGATGCAGATTATCTGGTATTGCCTGATGATTCAAGTAATCCAGTTTCAAGACACAGCAAAACAAAAAGGAATATGTCAAAGTTTGGCAGAAGCTTTGCACATCATACTGGCATGAAAATCTCTTGAGAAAGGGATTGATTTTTTTTTTTCTGTTGTCTCACATCGTCGTTTTAGTTTCTCTATTTAACACAGTTTGTAGTTTTTGTTTCCATTTGTGTAAAACTTGGCTTTAGAGTATCAACCTCTTCTGATCCCAGTGTTCCCATCATATGTAAAGATTTGAGTAATTCACCTCAAAACACAGTCGGTCCCATCATGGTTCCTTGCATGGTTGGATGGGAGAATCATCATAACACTCTGAGCCCTGCACGCAGCCAGCCAGGAAAAATGCTGGGGATGAGAGCAAGGCTTAATCCAGCATCTGTGGTGCCTTAGTGGAGGCTGCAGGAAAGTTTAGTTTTTCATCCAAAAGCCATAACTTCAGAATACCTTATCTCTCTGATTCAAATCAAGAGCACAGAAAGGTTTGCCAAAAACTGATCACTATTTATTGGCTGAGCAGAAAAATAAGACTCAAAAAAATCATTGCAGGTCAATCTGAAGTAAACAAGGTTTGGGACTTTTTGGTCTTTGTTCCTGGTATTAGATTTGTTGGGTTTTGGGGGGTTTTTTGGTTTTGTTTTTGTTTTTTTGTAGGAGAGGTGTTTCTTTTTTAAACCCTGAGTGAAGTTTGAAAGCAAAACCAAAATCCACTATGGTAAAGCAAAATTTTCATTTTGCCTTCAAGTGATTGTTTTTCCTGAACTAATTGAACACAACTGGTTTTAGTCATAGCTAAAGAAATTTCAAAAGGAATTGTCTTTTCAAATTTAAAAACTCTAACACCTGTTTCAAAATGATCAAAACCTATTTAAAAATATCATGTTCTACCTGAACAAAACAAATCCCCAAAAAGTCAGTTCAAAACATCCAAAATATCCTGGCTCCACCCAGATGTGTCAGCTCTGGTTAGAGGTTTCCGCTGCAATCCTTCACCCAGTTAGTCCACCTAGAATAAGGGAGACCAAAACAAACCCTTAAACTCATCACCAAACGCAGCCTGATTTCCATGACGTCATTGCCTACTCATCAATGCTTGCAGTCTGCAAGACGAAAGGCAGAAGCTGTTTATCCAGAGACACCTCAAAGCCTCTCAGCAACACAGGCAAAGCTGAGTTTTGTCTCTGCAAGAAGAAAAGCGGCCAAGACCAGGCTGGGCTGCTCTTGCAGGAGAAAGGGGATGGGTAGGAAGCAAAGGCTGGGGCAGGTCTGGAGTGTCAGTCTCGCTTCTCCTGCCTCAAAGGAAATGGCAGGGTTGGGAAGGGGCTTCTCTCTCCCCAGCAGTGCCACTTCCCTACGCACACCCACCCTCCTTTAGAGGTAACAACAGCAAGCCAGGGAACACCTTCACCACTGCCTGCAACCAGCTGGAAAACAGAGCGTGTCACCCCTGAAGAGAGAGACTTTCTAGTACATTGCTGGTTTAAATTCGGAAGAAGACAAGGACAGGAACGGGCTGCGTGTAACAGCAAAGCTCTCAGAGGTCACTCTCGTATGTCTTTTATTCAAGCAAACACACATCCACACAACCTTGCTTTGTTGCTTTGGCTTTTAACTGCTGGTAGAGCACCAGACTCACAGTACGTGGACCTTTCTTCCTGACAAGGTCCAACTCTATACAATCCAGAGAAATAACCAAGACATGGTGGCAGCTTATGAATAACTCACTTCTCATGTTTCCCTTGTTACTGCTGCTGTATTCAGTGTGGGCTCATCCAGCCAGGTGGTTGCGGATGTCACCATGCGTTGTGACACACACTGTATATATTAGGATGAGCCTGACCTCCTTTTATTTCTGCTCCTACCTCCTTTACATGCTTGGCAAAGCAACACAGTTCACAAGCATTCAAAAGCAGCAAGAAATTGAAACAAGAGGATTCGGTGAAAGAAATAGACACAGGAAAAGACTAAGAGCACCACCAAAGACAAGCAGAACTTCCCAAGATTTCTCTTAAGGTTATCATTCCCTGTTACATTACCTAGAACAGCTATTTAGGGCCTCCAGGCTGAATGATGGCTCAAGGATGAAGCCATCCCTGGAAACATCCCAGGTCAGGCTGGACGGGGCTCTGAGCAACCTGCTCTAGTGGAAGTTGTCCCTGCTCACTGCAGGGGGGTTGGACTAGATGGCCTTTAAAGGTCCCTTCCAATCCAAACTATTCTATGGTTCTATGATTTTTTAAGTCTATGATGTGGACCAACCGGCAGCACTCCTTGCTTAGGATGAAATGTCATCCCCATTGGCGTGTCAGCACCAGTTGCAGCTGCTTTTACTCTTACACTGAAGCATTTGTGTTGGCCACTGCCAGAGATGAGTCAACAACCGCTGGCTCCTAAATGGCAACATCTGCTGCTATCTTGTCTGATTATATGTAATCTCCATTTTATGGGTGATACTGGCTCTGGCAGGACAAACAAACCAAAACTTGCAAACTTTCCCCTTTACTAACTGAGAGTCCCAAAACCTCTTTTTGAAGAGCAAATAGTCAAATCTTTTCTCTGAACAAAGATGACAGCTCCCTGAAGCTACTCAGTAACTTCTCATTGTGGCTCTCAGACACTTAATTTTCCCAAAACTTAGACTCTTAATCAATCGTATTATATATTACAAACATCAACCAACATAATCAGAGCCAAGACAGAATACATTCTTTGCACATTTCCCCCCTAGCAAGCACTGTCAAAGCTGAGACAAGAACATTCCGTTAATTTGCCAATAATTTATGCAGAGACACCACTAAAATGTGCTTAATCCTCAAAGAGATTCAGTTGCTTGACTCAAGATTTCAAAGAAAAGCATGTAAATGCAGCAATAAAATGCATTCTGTTTAATCAAGTGAACGCATAACAGACTGATTCACATTGTTTTATGGCTTCAAATAACAGTTTCTGATGTGATTCCATGTGGGAGAAAAGGGGGGAGGTTGCTGTAAGTATATTTTGGCAGAATACTAGAAGAGGTCACAGGCAGCTGATTTCTTAATGAAGTGTTAAGGGCTTCCAAAATTTGTCTTTTATGGGAAAATGGAAACTTCCCCTCTCTGCTCTATCTTTAACAGAAAGAAAAGAATAGCAGAAGTCAGCTAAAATATACCAGTTTCAACTTGCTTAATTGTTGGAAAATGTTATTTTCTTATTTTAAGGTAAATAAAGTCTACGGTATTGGTTTGTACCCCACGACGTCAGCACTGCACCAGATACGCTATTAGGTTGCTTGGAAGAATTTTGAACAATATCATGGCAAACCATTTGGAAGCAGAGCTGAGAAGGGTCGTACAGCAAAGTCTGTTAGAGCTGACCAAAAAAAAATGCCACTATCATCTGCTTTATTTGGAAAATAAAAGGCAAAGGGAAATGAACTAAACAAACCCTCTGTGGTATTAAGTAAAATTAAATATAGTTCATAAAATTAAGGCATTTTGACATTACAGAGATATGGGTCCAGTGGTGAAAGAAGAAATGTTGTTCCGCAGAATGAACTGAAATTATGGCTTGGAAAACATATGGAGAGAGAAGGGAAAAAATTAAAGTGGATGTAGACAGATGCAATTTGATGGCAGTGAAAAGCTCTAGCACCACTGCAGACCTGCAATGTTCAGGAAAGGCTGCAGTTCCACCAAACATCTCAAGTCCAAAATTTCAAATATATTTTCACTTTATTTTATGAATGCCCATCAATCAGATATATATCCTTGATGCTACAGCACACTAGTTGAATAAAAATCAACAACATAAAACCCCTCGTCATAAAAGATCCAAGTGAAATCCCAAAGCCATAACCATTTACTCTGTAAGCATATCATCTTTGCCAACCATATATAAATGACAACATGACAACAAATACAATGTACAATAATAAGTGTGCAATGGTACAAAATATACAAAAAGGAATGTGTATTTAATGTACATTCAACAACACCCCATAAAAGTCTTTGTTGGGAAAGTGAAGTGCATTTTCAAGAACAACAAAAAACATACACCACTTCAGCTAAGATGCCTGAAGTATCTCCCATCAAAAGAGTAAAACCTGTGTTCTTTGACTGGAGATATAAAATAACTGAGCTGAATTTTCCCTAAAGAAAAAGAAATTTTAAACTTCATAAAATTTTTGTCCACATCTATAGTATAATAAAATATTTAGTGTGCAGAGAATTCAGTTTAATTTAAATTTTACTTAAAAGTGGGCCCTCTTTTATTGATAGATAGATAGATAGCTCAGTCATATAAAATCAAAAATCTATATTCCTTATAGTAAAAAGACCATTTCTTCCCATATGTCTTTTCTGGTTTTGATGCACAATTTGATTCCACAATTCATATAGATTCACTATAATGGAAAATATGAGTCTGACCAGAGGTCAGTACAAAAATTATTTCTTATTTTCTCCTGGCTCTATACAAGTCCTGCATAATTTTACTCAAATTTTTTTTCCTAAGTTTCAGATTCCTTTGAGTTTGACCTCAGTGGGAATTTCAGGATATTATTACAGTGGATATTATGAAGATCACATGCTTATGATGTGGCTGATTTCATTAAAAAGTCCACCTAGCCTCCAGTTTTCAGGCACCATTTCGTGCCTTCCTTCCAAAGCCGGTACGTGCACTGACAGCAGAAAGCATTCAGATACTGAGCCGTGCAAGTACGTAACCCATGCTGAGCTCTGCTGGGTTCTGTCCTCGTTCCTTGCATGGGTTCGGGAACAGAGGTGGCGGAGTATTTCGAGGAAGCCTCCCAGCTGACAAAGCTGATCCCTGATCTCCAGAAGTAGGGATTCTCGCTTTAACTCCAGAGTTTAGGCTTTGTTGATTTGCAGCCCAGGGAATGGTGACAGCTTGGCAGCCCGAGGGAGGGTACTGAACCTGCCAGTGACCTCTCTTGAAAGGACAAACTTCCACTGAGAGGGACAAGTGCAACTTGCACCGTAGGTATCACTTTCCTTCTCTTTATAGAGTTTGAGCCTGCTACTGCCTATAAAATCATGGGCCCAGACCTACAGTTCATACAACAGCAGTTAACACATTAAAATTCAACAGCACCAAGTTTTACCCCAACCCCGATGGCCATGACTTAGACATCAGAACGGGTTCAGCGTGCAAGTGCAACACCGTGCCTCTTGTATTAGAGGCCAACACCGACCATTCGGCCCTTCAAAGCATTAAAATCAAAAATATTTTCTGAAGTTCAAAACTCACCTGAGGCTCATTCCGAGTACCATTCACAAGTTTGATTTTGAGAGAGACTCATAGTTATGCTACTAAAGGACAATACACATCCTTTGCAGGAGGTTTCAAGCCTCTCTGAAAATCATTTCTTATGCGTAGAAGGAGTGATAGGAAATGAAAGGTACCTATAAATCATATGGCATGCCTGAGTGATGCCCAGGTGAATGCAAAAAATTCACGTTATTTGCAGTATGTATATCTCTTCCTGAGTTGAATTTCATTCCCAGTATGGAATCCAAGCGTCTGCTTTCTTTTTTGGCAAGGTACTCAATCACATGGTAAGGCAATCCAATTTTCTGGTTTGCTTCCTGTCTTCTTTCCTCCTAAATGGTCGAGCATTTCTCACCAAGATCACCACTACAATGTGTGCCAGAATATGTTTAAAATATGGTCCTGTAAAAATAGAAATTAGGTTTGTATCTTTGAAGGCAGCATTAGTTCTTCATATATTCTGGGATCTTGAAGATTTCAGCTGAACAGATTCAAAATGATCTTCCTTTTCCTGCAATGGAAAAGACAGGTTCTCATCAACTGGGATTCCTCAAATTCACTCCAGCAGTTACTACAGTCACTTCTTCTCTTAATATCTCCAGAGCAGCCTTTGCCAAAGACTTCACTTTATTTCTACCACAGTCATTAAGTGCACAGTTTGACCCCTTTCATAACACTACTAATTTTGTAAATCAACAAAATTATGCCATACATATTGTTCATGGTACTTACTTTAGAGGGTACAGGGAAAGTTTGCATTTCATACTCATAGTATAGGACAGGTAGTCAGAGCTGGGGAATTATAAGATAATCGTATCTGTGGTTATTATTACTTATTAATGTGTTCCTACAATAAATAACATGTTTGGAGCAAAGTCTGTGAATGTGAAGACCACTGCCTCACTCCTGGATTCCAGGGAGACACATAGGACAAAAAGAGTCTACAAATCCTCTGCCGTCTTAAAAATCAGGGATGGAGGGTTGAGCTTTCCTTCTGTTTTTACTTGCTGGGTGACAGCCTAGGCCATCTGGCCAGCAGGCATCAGGGTGAGAGGGGTGAACATACGCATCACTGCGTGTGTGAACAACCCAAAGGTCCGTGCAGAAGCCATGAATGAAGGAGCCCTGATGAAACTTCTCACTAGAAGGTGCCGGTTCTTGCTTCATGTATCTACCTTTTATACTTGTTGATATACACAAACATTTTGGAAACCATGTTAAACCAACCTCGTGATCTGATCTTTAAAGCCACCTCCCTCAGAGATCAGGACAGTCTGGTGCAGACATGGGAAATAGCGGGGGAGCAAATTGTCCTACGCTAGCCTACGGCGGAGTGTATATTTCTTGTTCTGAAGGACCTGGTATTGTTATGCTGGAAACAACAGCTGGAACTAGAGCAGCCTCCAACCTGAAGCAGTTTCATAATTCTTTGACTTCTATACTCTCATTAAAGATAACAGTCATTTCTTTCTATATTACAGGCGTAGCCCTGAATTCCTTGGGTACTCAAAACCACTAATAGCTTCATGAGATGTTTTGCTTCATGGAAATGCCATTGCCTGAAGCTTGAACATATAGTTAGGATAATTCATATTTTTCTTTATTCCTCAGTTTACATTTCTCCTCTTTTTCTCCCCTGTTTTCCTCCATATATTTTTTCTGTATTTTACATGCATATGCAGCAGGAGATGAATTTCCTCATCTTTTGCATAAATGAAAACTGATGCCTATAACATTTGTTTTGGAGAAATACATATTAAATTCCAGTTATCTGCAGGGATACAGCAGACAGATTTCAGTAAGCTAATGAGGCACTGGAAGCTGAGTTTGCCAGCCACGATTATCTAGCAGGAAAAAAGGAACCAGCTTAGAAATATCTGACAGGCTTATTTAAAAACGAGAGAATACTCAGGGAGCCTGCTACAATGGATATAGGAACTTTAAAAAACTCTTTTTGAGTCCAAATAGGCATTCAAGTGGTCTGAATACTAAAGTACTAAAGCTTACCTTAAAGAGAAAAAAAATAAACACTTCTCCCACGCTCACATCTCTACACTTCTAATCAGGAAGGAGCCAGTGGTTGGTGCTGCAAGTGGAGTCAGCAAAGTTTTTACACCTATCAGGCGTACAGCGAAGCATGACCCTCACCAGCAGCACTGGTCAATACGCTCAGCCACAGCCAGCCAAACCATTTCACAGACCAAAAAAAATCATCAGCATTTCAAAGTCAGTCCCTATAGGATTCAAAATGGAGTTAACTTCCATTTTTGCAACACAACCACAAATTTTGGTGTTATTTGATTTTATTTACATTTTCAATATTCTCAATATTGAATTAAGAATTATTATTGAATTTTTGCCCCTTTCCACAAGGAACAATATTGATTTTGGAAGACAAATAGTCAGGCTGGGGTCAAGGGGAAGTTCCGCATATTAGCTGTGTGATGGCAACATCTCGTAGGAGAAAGATCTGGGGAGCAGGTAACATGGAAAGAGTTCAGCAGTCTAATAAGAAAAGTAAAAGAACATAGAGAAGGGAAAAATATGGGGAAAAAAAGGAGGCATACAGGGTTTTATTACATTGCACTCAGTCACAGAAAGGAAAAAAGGAATAGGAGAAAAAAACATTCAACATTATGAAATATTATTTGGACAAGAAACAAGAGAGGGACTTTTCAAAAAAATGTTTTTATTATGATCTTTTAAGAAACCTTCTTATTTTGAAACAACCCACTTCAGCAAAACTGTCTGAAAGGGAAACTGTCATCCACCTTCATCTTGATCATAACAGATGCTCCAGCTGGAATCCCTTAAAGACAACACTACCCTTCCCATTGACTTCAAGGCATTTGGGTTAAAGACCTATATGCTTGCAGGATCTACCATGATGGTCTTCTGTTGCTCCTCTCAGAAATGTTCAAAGGACACCAAAGACCTTTGTGCTATGAATTCAGACATGCAGCAACCCACATCACATGTGCTGCGGAAAAAAATGCTTTTTGCTGCTGTTGCTTCCCACTGAAATGGAGGAGGCAGCTGTATTGGGTAGCAGGCAGTAGCTAATGTCTCATCTGAATCCAACAGTACTCAAAATAATGGTTCTCAAGCCAGCCATGAAGCCAGCCCAGGTGAGCTGCAAGCAGCTGGCTGGTGGCTGTGTTCCCAGTGTTAATGTTCTGTATTTATAATAGCTGTGTTTGCCTCAGCAACCGAGGTGTCTGGTAGGAATCTGGGAAGAGAGGATCCCCCCGCCATTAACTGCTCATTTTAGATATCACCCTTACAATAAAGATTGCTACTGAAAGCTCTCTGCAGAAGAGGGAGCGTTTACTTAACACCCTGCAATATTTCTTATTATCCATACTGTGGATTTCAGCAGATCAGCTATGGACTGGGTGATGTGTGCGTGGGAGGCTCCACAAAGCACTGTGCAAACTAGCATCACAGCCTCATCACGTCCAGTCATAAATGAAGGTAATAATTATTTTTAGCATTAATAGTAGTCATTACTACTCACCTTTGTTGCCAAGGACTTGAGCTTCCCCAGCAGTGACTGCTTATTTGAATATACTATTTCTTCTTCATTATCTTCTCCTTCCATTATAGCACAGCTGTCAGCAGCTGGCAGCTCACACTCTTTTGAGTTGGCTGTCATCACTAATTTGGAATATTTATACTCCAGCCTGAAGATATAAAGCCAGACAGGCATTGGTTTTTTTACAGATGTCCCATACTCAAGGTTTTTGTAATTTAGGTTATCTGCAGTCCTTCCACTTAGTTATTTCTGAGGTATTTACTTGAAATTAGATATTTTTCAATCATTAAAGACACATAACCAGAACAGTATTAACAATGCATTGAGCTCCTGCTCTCCAGATTAGCCCTCTATCCTTATGAAAGAGCCATGTTTTCCCAAAAGACCACAAGCAGGTCAAGAGGATTTCCTGCGTGAAGTTCAACCTGTGCGCTGGTTGGGGCAACAGCACGTCTGACTTCAGCCTGTATCAGAATCTGCATCACACCCATGTCCAAGGGGAATATGGGGGAGAGGACAGATGTGCAACAGGGTGTTGTAGGAGGCAGCAAGAGGTGGGGATCATGTTATTGGAGTCCGGGTTTGATGAAGCTGGGTGTGCTGTGGGGTGACAAAATCCCATGGAGGTAGAATCACGTTTTGAACGTTTATGGCATGAGATTTTGGAAGCAGAGGACAATGGGGATGGGGAACAGTCAGTATGATCAGTCTGAGAAGCAGGGAACTTTTGGGAGTGTACTAGACATGTCCTGCCAAATAGACCTAAGCAATATATAGTTAGGAACTCTATTTTAATCAAACCTAAAGGTATGAATTAGACTGAAGACATATCCTTTTGGTCTTCAGATCTTGAGAAAGCTGTGTTGTTTCAGGGCATAAAGTCAACTTCAAACTCTTGGGTGTTAAAAAGACAGTTCTTGTTGGGAAATTATCCCATAACAAATTAGTGTGAATTTTCTATACTTCCCTTGCCAGCATTTTGACAGCCACTCTTGGCAGAAGAAACCTCAACTTGGTGGATTAACGGATTGATCCAATATGGTATTTAGTGATCCAATGTGGTATTTCTCATCAACATTGTCATAAGGTCAGACCCATGAAATGTTCTTCAGTTCACTACATCAAGCTTTTATTTTACTTCTATATGGACCACAATTTGCAGTACTTACTTCTGGTTCTTCTTCCAAAAATAGCAGGTCAAGGCTATCAGCAGAACAGCTGTGAAAGCACCAACACCAGCTCCAACTTTTAGCCAGAAGTCCACCGTTTCACAAGTGCTGGTCCTTTTTTCTGGCAAGGGAACCCCTTTAATGCAATGCTTTGGATCATTCCATACATACAAGGTTTCCTTTCAAACAGAAAACACCAAAAAGTGAGCTGCTTGTAGGAAGAGAGAGCACGCTTTAGAGTTGAAGAAAATGAGCTGTTTTGAGGTAGACAGGTTAGACATCTTTCCAATGAAAGCAAATCAAAACATGTACTTCAGGTTTTCAAACTCCAGGTGAAGTCATATTGTCTACTCAAGTGTCCCCTTGATTGTGCCTGCAGCTTCAGACATGGCAAAAGGATTTCCTCTTCTGTATTGCTCTTCACTTGGCACAATATGGGTTGGACAGCAATTGTGAATGTGTTGTGCCTGCACTGGAACTCTTGATCAACAGAACAGTTCTGAACCTGTGAAAGGCCTTCCTAATATTTGACTAGAGAAGACAGCAGCAAAAAAATTGCAAGCAAGGAAGGATGAACTGCTGAACTGAAATTCTGAATCCTTTCCCAGCCTGCGGCTGAAGTTTATGGCTATTAAAGGACTGAAGTCCTTTGGGCGCTCCATCCTTTACAAATAACTTGCCTGCATGTACGAATGCATAGCGAGTTCACGTCCCTACCCACATAGCTGGTCAGCAGAAGACAGCTCTCCTTCAGGAACCATGCTGCCATTGGAACAAATATTCCTGAGTCCCAACACAGCACCTCACCAATAAGACTTGCGTCCAGTCAGCTCAGAGCCTGGACCAAGATTTCCCAACTCTGCCTGCACTTACGTATCGATTTGCACACTGAATTTCAACAGAGTCAATTTATACCCAAACGAACCCGTCTGACTTGGAGACATGGGTCCTGTACCTGAAATCCTTTTTTGCAGGCTCCCTCAATCTCATGGTAGTCTTGCTCCGTGCAGAGAGGGCAAGCTTCTGCACTTTCCCACACAAAGTAGAAAGTGCATCCGTCGCAAGTGCCCGCAGGGCATGAGCTAGGAGGAGAGCAAAGCTTAGTTATCACTTATGAAACACTCTGGGGTTTGCATCTTCATTCCACATTCTGCTGCTGAAGATTGGTAATGGTAAGTACAACAAATGGGTAAACATCCATCAAGTCAGCAGATGGAAAAATCTGGGGGAAGAATATTTCCCAGTTTGTAAAATGCTTCCTCAAGTGAAAACAGATATTGGATTGTCAAAGGTCTAAAATAACAGTTCGGTTCCTGGCAGTGAGTGCTACTCATATACCTACGTTGAACAGAAGAGAAAGAAGCAAGTCTTGGAGACCAGCAGAACTACTCCAGCATTTCAGCAGCATGGGCTAGCCCAGCATGCTCCTGCACCGCTGTTCCCCTGCACTGGGTGACTGTTCACATGAATGCTGCTATCTTGTTCCTGTTGTTCTAATGATCTCTGGGTGATTTTGTCCATATGGAATGGACTTGTCCTGTCATGGTTAATTACTAGAAGGATGTTCACCAGTTAATGAAGAGATAACAGCTTCTCTTAGTCTAAGAAAGACTAATGACCCTATTTTGTATTCAGCCTGCAGAATAAAGTTGTACTGGCAATGGTAGGACATTCACGCAGCTTTTGTTACTGGCAATTACATCATGTCTAACAGCAGCAGTGGCCAAAAGTCCATGCAAGAAGCTAGGTCATGTAAATGTGAAATATATCAATAGACAAAAATGGATTTAAAGGTTTTTTTCTATATCATCTGGAAATTTTGTTATCCTGACCTGAAGGAATGAAGAATCCACAGCCCTAAAGTCCCGTTCGGGTTTATCCTGATTTGAGTAAGTGACAACTGTTCCCTCTGGATTATGGAACATTTTTTCAATGTACATGGCAAGAGCACTGACAGACCTCGGTCCTCCACCTCTTTCATCTTATAGAATCATAGAATTATATAATCACAGAATCTCTGGGTTGGAAGGGACCTTTAAGGACATCTAGTCCAACCCCCCGCCATGAGCAGGGACATCTTCCACTAGAGCAGGTTGCTCAGAGCCCCGTCCAGCCTGACCTGGGATGTTTCCAGGGATGGGGCATTACTACCTCTCTGGGCTACCCGCGCCAGGGTTTCACCACCTCCATTGTCAAAAATGTCTTCCTTATATCTAGTCTAAATCTTCGTTTTTTTAGTTTAAAACCATCACCCCTTGTCCTATGGCAACAGGCCCTGCTAAAAAGTCTGTCCCCATCTTTCTCATAAGCCCCTCTCAGCCCTGGCAGCTGCAGGAAGGTCTCCCCGGAGCCTTCTCTGCTCCAGGCTGAGCCCCCCCAGCTCTCCCAGCCTGTCCTCCCAGCAGAGCTGTTCCAGCCCTCGGAGCATTTTTGTGGCCCTTCCCTAGACCCACTCCCACAGGTCCACGTCTTTCCTGTGCTGAGGGCTCCAGAGCTGGACACTGGACTCCATTATATTGCAACTTGATATGATACTAAACACCATGTCTGAAGGATCAAGATGTTACATGCAGTATTATTTGACATGTACCCGGTACCTCACTGTCTGATTGCTGAGCTAATCAAGGGGGGCTGGGAAGGGAGAAGTCAACAAGAACTGAGATAAGGTATGTCATGTCAGCTGCGTGCTGTTTCTGCCTATGCTCATACTTTTAAAAGCAAGGTAGGTTACTCCTCCCTCACTACTAGTGAGTTACCACAGCTCACACTATGTTTAACATATAACACTAGAAGGACACCTGGAAGATTTTCACACAGCAGCTGATAGATAGTGGCTTCTTGCCCAGCATAATTTGTAACGTGACAGGTCCCTAAGAAGCTGGGGTAAGCATCTCCAAAGGTGTTCAAACATCAATCACTCATCCATCACCTGTGAAGTAGATGCCTCTTTGCCTTCATTCAGATGAGCATTGTTCACCCATCCCAAGAGGGACAGGGATCAAAGAGGATCCCGCACTTCTCACACTGTTAGCTTTTGGGAAGAGGACGTAACTTTTGGGAAGGAGAATGAGTGAGAGGGTTATCAGCAGATTTATAGTAATGTCCAGACAGACTAAGATGGGCCTTAACAGCCGAAGAGAGAGGTTATTAGAATGGAGGGGAACTTCTGAAGAATCACAGGGTGTTGCTAAAAAGTAATAGAATTAATTCTTTTACTGCTTTTTCTCTGCAACTTTTCAGGTGCAGGCATAAACAGGACTTTGGAAGAAAGAAGCTTTTTGGAGTCACTTGAATCAGAGTGAAGGGACAAAGAAGTCAGGCAAATTAAACACAACTGTTACAAGGCGTCCAGGATTCAAACTGGAGTGATGAGACATGTAAATAAATACATATAGAACTTGACCTAGACAGTCAGGGCTCACATAAGCATTGCAATAGCAGATTTCATAGTTCCTATGACAGATTGCTCTTTTTCAAAACATCACTTTGTCCACAGCCACTGCTGTAGATCAAGGAAGAAAAACTACCTCTCAGAGCCCTGACCAGGCAGTTCTAATCAGGAGGCCAAAGATCAAAATAAGGAACTGAAATAAAGGAGAAGTGGAGACAAGAAAACGTCACTACATTTTCTTTTGGCTTTAAGCTTGGAACAACCTTCCTGAGCTCTAACCTCTCTCACCACACAGCCAAAATACAGAGCAGCTGGTCTGCTGGGAGGTGATGGACACACACGTCCTTCACCTAGAAGAAACAAGTGAGACCTCCTGGATGGCTGATGAGGGAGACAGCACTCCTCATTGCTGTTAGGTATAAAATTACTAATGAGTTTTGTAAAGATGGCCTCAGAGGAAAAGACTTTTTATCACTACTAGGATACAAATACTTAAATACCTGGGCACAGATAGCTCTCCTTGGTCTGGTTTGTTGGGGTTGCATCTCATTGTCACAACAGTTGCACGGCCATTTTCACAGGAGGTTGTCACTGTTGAAGACCTTATATCAAACAAGAGGAGAAGTGTAATACATTTCCATTACAGTAAATACACGTTGCTCTTTCATATGTCTCTGTCCATTCGTGCAACTGCAGTACTAAAGAAATACCCTTTACCACAGCACTTTTGCCTTTGTCAGCTAGAAGAAAAAAAAGGAGCAACAGAAGCAGGGCAGGTTTCACCACTGTATTTAAATCTCAAATTGCTCTGAGATGCCACTCAAGGGACTGCTCCATTTTTCTAGCTAGTTTGAATTCTGCTGAGTCAATGAATAAGCCTGCCCACAAACCAGAATAGAACAATTTAAAAAGAGAATCACAAGTGCTGTCATCAGTGTGTTACTCTGCTGGGGAGTTTATGGTGGCTCTCTGCTCACATAGTAATCTGGGAACGACGCTGTCCTGAAATAGCACAAGGCAAAGGGGATTCAAAAAATTGACCTTATTCCAACACGATTGACGTTGTAAGCCACGTTCACGATATACTCAAAGTAGGGTCACTGGTGTGGCGTTCAGTTTGCAGAATCAGACACATAATTTAAGTATTCACACATGCATAAAGCGCTATAGCCAATTAAGATCTAGTACTAAAGACAACACAATTTAGAGAGCCAATCAGTAGAACAAATATAGGTATGTGCCTTAAGATAAGCTGAATAGCCCCACGGGTTCCAGAGTCCAAATTTAGAAACCCAGTTCACATGAAGCCACCAGCATGTAGACATCTTAATTGAGGTGATCTTTGAGCTAATTCTTACCCAAGCTGAGGTATTCTTTTTATGGAGGAAAGTGAAGAATAGGAAAAGCACACTAGTAATTCTGCAATTAATTCTTTTTAAGCTCAATCAGTTAATTTTTGTAACATCAAAGTAAATACAAAATAACGTGAAAGAAAATATGCAACAGGAAGTGGACATATCAAACCCAAATATGAGAAATTATGGAAAGGAACATGACACTGGAAGTGGCACCTAGGTCAATCAAAGTTCTGGTATCTCTCTGCAGATCAAGTGTAATTTAGATTTGAGTAAACAGTGTTTGCTGATTTCATAAGATGTTCTTCAACATGCCAATCGATATCAGCCAGATACAGATTAAAGTGATAAAGATTAAAGGTGAATTAAATATCTCCCCTTGCGGTTTTGGTTTCCTTTAAGCAAATGAGGAAATTTCACATACAAATAAACAGTATTTTTTACCTACTTGTAAAAGAAATGCACATCAGGTATTTTGCTTGGAGAGGGAGGAAACATGTCTGTCTTGATGCTGATATTTTCCAGTGTTGTTTCAACAGTAGCTCCTAAAATTTGAGAAGGAAAAAAAAAAAGGAACAAGCTAAGAATGGATTTCTGAGGGCTTCAAATGTAACATTTTCTCAGACTGAAAGGTATGGATCTCACTTAGTAGTGTTTAATGACATTACTATCCATTATACACTTTCTTCTATTCTAACTAAACTTTGCAGATTTGTATGTTCTTCATACAGACTGATTTCCTCATACAGACATAACAAAACAAAAATTTCATAAACCAACACCAGTGCAAATAAGCTTTACTCTTTTGCATGAATTTCAAGCAATCACAGGATATTACAGAATTATAAAATAGTTTAGGTTGGGGAAGGACTGCTGAAGATACCTGATCCAATCAACTGCTCAAAGCATATGCCTTGAATGTATAACCTAACATATCATAACCATGTAATACCCTGAGCAATCTGCAGTACTGAGGGAGAAAAACTGAAAGATGCAATGGCAAGATTCAGAAGGATTATGGAGTCATAGGGAAGCCTTGATGGCACATTTTGGAACAAATGGCAGGCTGATGTGTGGAACAACACAGGTTACACAGGTCTGCATGGATTCTGGAGAAGAGCTGAAAAAGAGGAAAATTCAAGTAACCAAAGTTCTTAGAGATCCTTCCAACCCCATGAACCAAAGAAGACAGAAAATATTGGTGCTGCACTGCAACATGTCAGAAGAAGAGGGAGCTGTACAAATGGGACAGGCTGCATCCTTCTAGTGAAGTGAAAAATTGCTAAAACAACAAGAAAAAGCAGTAGCAGCCAGCAGCTGGTGGGAAGGTGGGAAAGACTGACGAAAAGAAGTTTTCCACTTGTCCTTGCAACACTTCAGACAGCCTAGTTGAATTCTTAGGACTTTGACTTGACTTCAACTTGACTGGCATTACATTTGGGAGGACGATTCACACAGCTGGAAAATCCATGTCTGGTAGACAATTGGATTTGATAGACAAAAAGGAACCCTTTTAGGTGAATAGAGTAGATATAACAAAGGTGACAATTTGCATTAGACACTACTACCTGGTGTAGGGCAAGTCAGAGCTTGGGATTGTGAAAGTACGTGGATCAATGATGCGCTCAGTATCATTGCTCAGGAGGGCTTGCAGGTGAGAGATTGCTACAGAGCATCACATCAACAGACAGAACAAAATGAGCTGTGCTGCAGCAGCCATCAGGAGCATGGGCAGAAAGATGTCAGGTCATTGTGGAGGGACCTCTGTTCTGAGAACATACACTGACGTCAGTAAGGTTGATCATTTCCTCTCATCAAAGACATTGCACTGAACACAGCGTAATTTAAATTTTGATTGCAACACAATAGATAGAGATTAGTTACTCACTAGACTGGAAGAAGATAGCTCCTAGGGACCTTATTATATACAACAGAGGCAATGAGGGAATATTCCCATCCAATACGCAGTACTGTAGAGATGGCGTCTCAAAGTGCAGTTTCTCAAAAATAAGAACACTAGAAGCAAAATCAAGTGTGAAAAAAAATGTCATTCTTCAGAGGTTATTAATTATATGGCTAACAAGCCACAATGACTCTCTCAAGAATGGCAATAGCTTTGACTAAGAGTCCACCTTGGATCAGAACAGCGGTAAAAAAAAATCAAATAAAAAAAACCATTGGCACAAGCTTAATGGAGGGGGAATAGAGAATCAAATAGAATCGGAAGTTATGAGTTACAAAAAAATGATAATGGATGCTAAAGACTTCAGGGAAAAGCCTTTGTTTGGCAGCACTAGAAAAATTATAAGTTTAAAGCTTTTTTAGAAATACTAGAAATAAAAGTACATCTTATGAACAGGAAAGGCAAACTTCAACCATTTTAAAATTTAACAATAGTGATCAAGAAAAGGCAGCAGAATAGCTTGATATCTTTTCTCTCTGTTAGGAAAAAATCATTATTTTCTCCTTGCTTTCCGAGACAATGACTGAACACCTTATTCCTTCGGTGGCAAGAGAGGATATTGGCATCTACTTGGCATGCATGCTTATAAACTAGCAAGTGCATACCTAAGAGTGATCTTTAATAGAGCTTTTAATGATAGTGAAATGTCAGAAGACTGATGGAGAGGGGATATGGTGAACCAAATTACAACGTGGCTAACACGATGAGGCAAAATAACAGGAATGGTAAGTGGAAGATGGGTTTCAGTAAATGGATAGATACTTAATGAGTGACAGTCAACATGAATTTATGGAGGACAGCTCTTCTTGAACAAATCTGATTTTATTCCTTGAGTGCTGATGAATTTGGTTGCTAAAGAAAATTATGTAAATTTATTGAGTATTTCACTAATTACCACATGAGATTCTAATCTAAAAGTTAGTAATATCAATTAAGCACACACTCAGGATTAAAAATTATTTAACTAATTAATTATGAAATTATCTGGCCATGGGAAATTGTCATCAAATGTGATATGTCTCCATGCTTCTCTAGGAATTGATATTGGAGTTCCAAAATGCAAGGTTATCATCAGGGAGCTGCAATTAACTATATAATCACTGTTGGCAAAGTGTGTAGATGAGACAAAGAGTAAGAGGAACAGGAACAAAATACAGGGCAAATTGGTTCACCTGATAAGCTGGTCTCAATCAAACTAAACATATTTTAGTGCAGACAAGTGCAGCAAGGGATGAAGGCCAGTCCTAAGGAAAAGAGATTTTCCCTTGGAAACTGTAACTCTGAAAAAGATCTGGAGTGGGCATCAGATCCAAGAAGCCACCATGAATTCCCATGAGTCTAGAGGAAGAAGGGCTCAGGGATTCCATCTTGCATGTAAATACAAATATGGAAGTTATTTTTATAGCTATTATAGTGAATTAAATACTGGAATACTACCCCATTCTGATGCCCATGCTTTAAGAAAATGTAATGACAAGTTACAGAAGCTGAAAAAAGAGCCCTAAAAAGTATTCAGATGCTTGAGAGAAACACATGATAGTAAGAGACTTAGAAGAACTTGGTCTACTTAGTTTATCAGGAGGGTGTGATGATTCTAGCACATAAAGTATTTCTCCAAGGAAGAAAATGTGGGTGTGAAATGGAGAAAGAATAAAATGAAGCAAGGGCTGAAAACTGAAGCCAGGCAAATTCAAACAGGAAACAAGTCTGCTTTAAAACAAAATACAGAGACGGTGTTTGACCAGTGGAAAAAAAATACCAATGACTGTGGCAAAGTTTTTCTTTCTGGCAGTCTTAAAAGGCCAGGTTGAATGCTCTTCCGAAGACGTGCTTTTGTCAAACATGAGTTTCTGGGCTGAGTGCCAGGGAGAAAGTACAAACACTCAGAGCCTGTAATGGATAGGTGAGCAGACTAAATGACTTCATTGTCTAATCTGGCCTCAGACTCTGGGAACTTGTGAGCCAGAGCAATGCAAGGCTTAATGATGTGCGCAGCCCCATGCTGCTCTAAGCCTCCTCCTTTCTCGCCTAATTATATCCCGGCACCAGCTGCTTCTTCTGAAATTGCTCAAATGGGGACTTGGCATGGGCAAGAAACACTTCGACTAATGTGACTACTACAGCAATTGGTCTTCCCTGCACAAGGTGGGTAGGAAACATGAAAGAAAACCAGTGCTTTTTAATTACATTCTTCAGATTTTTGTGCTGAAATTTTGTGCACCATAGGACCCACCAGACCAAACATGGGGAAGAGTGAGTAATATGAGCATGGAAAACAAAGAATGGGGGGAACCCTTACTCTTCTCCACCAGCCATCAGCTGAACTGAAACAGCAGCAAAAAGCAATGGCGTCTGTCCAGATCCACTCCACAGTTCAGGAACAAAGTGGGCTTGAAGCCTGGGCTGCCCCTTCACTCTTCCCCCAAGGTAATGCAGCACTGCTGAGCTGAGAAGGATTTACTCTGCAGCCCTACATACATTAGAGTACATCCATGATAACAACATGCAAAGGACAAACCATGTACCTAAGAACCTGTCGGCAAGGCTGTTGGACTGCAGAGCCAGGGCTGTCCGGAAACCCTTGCTGTCTGATGGGATGATGGTGGACTGGCAGACAAACGCTCCCACAAAGTTGGAAAAATCTTCTGATTCTGCAACCATGTCTTTCAGAGTAACATCTGTAATATTGTCAGTGCAAATAGCCATTTTCCTCCCCTGTGGACAATCAGGAAAAAAGGGGAAGCTGTTGGCTGTTGATAGGACATGAAGAAGTTTGGGAAAGGAGAGTTTGAAAACTTCCTGACTACAAAGTGTATGAGCCCCATTCCTGCACCTTAGAAACAACTTGATGTTTCTATCATGAGAGGGACAAACTGCAACAAACTGTGCCATTGTGAAAGCTCTGATTAAAGCCTTCTATAGATCCAGAAACATGATGTCACCTCTGGTATGTGTCTTATCAGAAACCTGTGCTATGAAGCACTCTTCTTTGTTTATCTTGACAGCACAGTGTTTACTTGCAGAGCATAATAAAATGGCTTGTAAAGGAAAACCATATTTCCCTTGCCTTTAAATAAGATACTGTAGAATAATTCTTTATTTGGTATTTATTCCAGATAAAATATTCTCAAAGCACAAACACATTAAATCCCTAAACAGATATATAGCCTTCAAGGCTGCGTTAACGTCACACGTCACGATCAATGTTAGAATCTCAGAGCAATAGCAATGAAAGACAAATCAGCAGACTCAGTTGTCCTGACAAAGTGCCGAGTGCTCAGGACCTAATCGCGTGGTTGGTAGTACTGTAGTGCCGTCGTAATAGTTTGGGAAAATGAAGACCAGATCCACAGGCAAGTGTGCATCCACCTTTGTGGATCTAGTTGTCAACAGCTCTAATCTAGGAGGGTACTTAAAGACACATTTAAACCTAAAAATATGCAAAATACTGTAAGGAAACACGACTACTCATTTGCCTCAACTCATGCAAACCCTTTGGCACATGGGAAAGAGACTTCAGAACATTACAGGCCTGAACCTCGATGTAAATGACATGCATTGACTTTCATGGGACAATACACATCACTGGTACTGCTCCAAAATTTATGTATGTGACAACACGCTCTGGTACAGTCCAAACCCCAGGCTTAAAAACTCTGACTCTTGAGTGTTTGCACTCCTGGACTAAACACATTTTCCACCACTTTTAAAAGGCTGCAATCAAAGTCAGCAATGGGCACCTCGGCCATTGTCAGAGTCCAGGGTGACCAGGGGCTCTGCTGACAGCAATATCTCTGGCCAAGTCATGAGGGAAACGTATGGAAAGAAGTTGGCAACTGAAAGACTCAGACCCTTGAAAATTTTTTCCTTGGTTCGAGTTCCTTGGTTCGAGTTCCTTGGTGTCAGCACAAAAATATCAGGGTTGTCACCCAAGTGATTTGAAGACACGAGAACCAAGAAAAGGTAGGGATGTGACAGAGTTTTTTTATTCTGAGCATTATTTATGCCTAAAGCACTCTCATCTCTGCTCTGGAAAATCACTTGGCCACTCAAAAGTCCTCTTGCACAGCTGAGCAAGATCCAGAGGAAAGTGTATGGTGTTGGTAACATCTCAGCTGTAGGGAAGTCCTCCCACTGTGATCCCACAGAGCATCAACACAGGCAGCAAATTGGTTAATCCCCCCGACCCTCAACACCAGCTGAGCTCACCTCATTCCCACACAGGCTGATGTTAAAGAAGTGGAAGAACTTGGTCCCTCGGGAGGTGAAGCTGGGTCCACTCATCAACGAGCCCACCTGGCTGAGGTTGCTAAAATCATAACTCAGGCTGTGGTTATCCTTTATGTATGACACCAGGCAGTCACTGAAGCAGGCAGAGTGGTCCTTCAGAGAAGGAGAGGCATCCATTGAAGAGCAGTTATGGACCAGCAGCAAACCATTCAGTCAGCACCTGGGAGCTAAAGTAAGCAGCTGCAGACAGGACTGCTTTCCTTATTAAGGATGGGGCGGAACTTTGTCCCGTTCCTGTAATTCACTTTTCCCTCGGGAGAATTCCCATTCCTCTCTCAGTCCCTCACAATCACATATCATGACTTTAGTGCTCCCTAAGCATGACCTTTCTGCTATCCCCCGCATTAGCCAAGAAAATGTAGTTTCTTTCTTTGTTTTGTTGTGGGTGTTTTTAGGATCCAAACATCTCAGCTTAAAGCCCTGTAGATAAGACCAGAACATGGCCTCAGTTACACTTGCATCTTGCAAAGCAAACACAAGAAACAGCTCAAGAGATAGGAATAGGATATGAACCCAGCTGGAGACATGCAGAATATGAACAAATTGGAGCAGTTCTTCAAGTCCTGTGCAGCTCCTTGCCAAAGGATGCTGCGCATGATGAATGTTTATCTAGGCTTAAGGGCAATTTCATGTAAGAGGAATTTGTTACAGGTTTCTCATCCAGCTGAGGAAGTCCCCGAGTTTAAAACAGCAGGAGTCTGGGACAGTTTTAGGTGGAAGTAACTTGCTTGCCTTGTTCTTACGCTGTCACCAGTACAGCTTCTTGAAATGAAGCTTTTTTTGAGCCAGTGTAGTCAATTTTATCTTCTTCTTAGAATCCTAGAATCACTGGAAAAGACCTTTAAGATCATCAAGTCCAACCATAAACCTAACACTGCCAAGTCCACCACTAAGCCATGTCCCTAAGTGCCACATCCACTCATCTTTTTAATACCTCCAGGGATGGTGACACCACTGCTTCCCTGGGCAGCCTGTTCCAGTGTTTGATAAATCTTTTGGTGAAGAAATTTTTCCTAATCTCTAATCTAAACCTCCTCTGGCGCAACTTGAGGCCATTTCCTCTCATCCTATCGCTAGTTACTTGGGAGAAGAGGCCAACACCC